CTTTCTTGCTTGAATATGCTGCTGCTGCTGCTGCTTTTTTTTTTTGCCTTAGCCATGCCCTCAAACTGTGCAAAATATTCTCTTGATGTGTTGGAGATTCACTGAGGTGTATTGCCGGGGAGGGCAGGATTCAAGAGACGGATCTTCCATTATTTGATTGGTGCTGAATATAAAGTTAAGATGATGAGTACTTGTAAGCGGTTCTAACATTACCATTCTGTATAGAGTTGATTGAAACCAAACCTCTGAATTTCTGAACCAGCATACATTTGGAGTTTCTCTGTATTCTAGGTATTATGGGACTAGATGGAAAGTGGTCCATATCAGCAATAGAGAAGCTGAAAAGTCTCTTAATGAATGCAAGTGTAATAATTACAGTGAAAGAAGTTACTCAAAATATTTATCCAGTAATTGTCCAAAAAAAGAGTGAAAATAGTGTTATGGATATAGCAGAACAGTTAATAATTGAAAACTTGGCAAAATATAGCAACAGTGGGAATCGTAAGTACTTTCCAAACAAATACCTGCATGCTTATCTGAGAAAGAGAAAGATATGTTCTGTAACCTGCTAATATATCTGAACAAATATGGGTAGTGAGTACTTCCAATTTACAAAATAGGAAGTGCATTTCTGCGTTCATTTAGGCTTGTCACTAATGGAATAAAAATTTAAATATATTTTTCTTTCTTTTAGAATGTTCAAAAACAACAGATTGCTGCTGTACAGAGTTGAAAAAGCAAGTAAGTTTTAGCTTGAAATTCATTCTTTTGATTTCCAGGTAGAGATTGTTTGCATAGAAATGATCCACAGAACATTTATCTGTAAGTGTACCTTCACTGAAAGACAAAAAGTAATCAGTCTTTTCAGATGCATAACTTGCATAGTTAAAAAAAAACATTAATATAAAACATGAATTTATAGAGGTCATCATATAGTTGATATTATGTACCCAAATGAAAATTTACTGTGTTCCTGTAATTTCAACTAGAAAAGGCCCTCAGTGTATTTCATCAATTGGTTTTAAAGGCAATAAAGAAGATGGATTAGAAGGGTTCTTTCCCCAATAAAAGGTATATTCACTGTGTTTCAGGATTATTAATTCTTTTTGTGATAAAAATGTGGACTAGTATGAAATTAGCAAAAATAAGCATGAGAGTGCATCCAAACTAATATTTAGAAAATATGCATTCTGTTATTGAGGCTCATTATTTGCTGAAGAATTGGATATAAATAGCAGCATTAAGCAAATGTAATCTGAACTAGATAGCTTAGTGATGCTTTCTGTTTGCAGTAAATTGGCTGAAAACCTAGCTTGAGGCAACACAATTCCATTATAATTTCTGGTTTTCTTCTATTTTATAGGTTGCGAAACTTGAACAGGTTATTTATTTTCTCCTGAAAGATCGCTTTGGTGAAAATAACATTCCTGAAATTATAAAGCCTTTGGAAAAATAAAATTCTGTATATATCTCATGCTGCAAAAATATCATATGTTGCAAGAATAATGTTAAGAGTTAATGCATTTTGTTTTATAAATCTTACTTATACTAAGGTAGAGTGGCAAATCCACATGTTCTTCAGATTTTATTTTAATTTGGCTCTCAAAGTTATGACCGTGAATTTGGGTTGTTCACATGCTGGAAATATAGTGTAACAAATGTTGAATGTAATTAATAGATATATGCTGTATAAACTAATATTGTTAATCTGGCTTTCTGGAGCTGTGTTGTTTCACTAACCTTAAAATGGATATACGGCATTGGGGGGCAGAGCAGCATTTAGCCTTTGAGTGATGAGCCATGTGGCTGTATTTTAAAAAGTAGGTAGGGTCAGGACAAAAACTGAATTTGAATTTCACTTAAATTAAAAGATTTAGTTTGATTATTTACTATGTTTAATAACTATCTCTTCTATCATATTAAAATTTAAGTTGGTAACTTTTGGAGCTTCCAAAGTGCAAGATTAGTTTTTCTGCCAAGGGGTGCCATGAAATAACTTTGGTGTGGCTTAGAAACATCCATACTTTGCGTGCCATAAGTTTTTCAGATGCCGTGACCTACAATGCAAATGGGTCCAGAAAGTCCATGACATTCAAGGGACAGATTGAATCAAAATGTATGCAGGTAAAAACTACACAATCCATATTAAAGCAATACTTTTATTAAGCCAGTTTAAAGCTGAAAAGTTCATTAGCTTTTGTATTGCTAAGAATTTACCAGAAATAGTAAACAAAATCTCTCCATCACAAGTCAAGTGGCTTCTCAAAGCCATAGTTACATTATCTCCAGTCTTAGGTAGAGTATTAGCATAGACTTTAGATATTCAAGTTAGGAATCAAGTTAGACTTGATTGGGATAGGAAACAAATCAGCTAAGTGTCCCATCTATCCATAACTGAGTACTAGTATGTTCATAAGTTGTGTTTTGCAATAATCTTGCAGTGTTCCCCAGAAAGGAACCCTATACTTTGATGAGAGCTCTAGTCAAGTACAACATGATCTAGGATTCTAATGAAGCCTGTCTCCAAAATGCACAAACTCTTCTACAGTGAACCTTTAATTTAACAGACTAACTGGGGGAAAAGATTTCCCATTATTCCTGAATGTCTGTTAAATAACAACATAGTGTTGTTTGCAAATAACATAAAATTCATGTAAATTTAACTGCTGTATCTAGACTATTTAGGATGCAGCTCTCCTTCAGATTTCTAACAGAATGTGGATCCATTCCCTACTGAGATAAAGCCCTTTATACCTTCAGCTGAACACCTGAAGCATTTGCCTAGGCATCCTATAACTATCCTGCCTTGCATGTTGCTTTCAGTAAAAAATCCCTGACAAACATACCAAACATTACATGGGACTGCTTTCACAGTCATCACTACATTAGCAGATCTTTGAGAAAAAGGATGCTGGATATGAGGTCAGTATTAAAGTGTAGCTTTACTGACCATTGTCTATGCCCACATTTCTCTTTCCCTTCCCTCCTGGACATATGTTGCAGCAATTAAATTGGTGATGTTAAAACTCAACAAGAAGGACAAAAGGTCTTAGGCATCTTTCACCCAGGACTGGATTCAGATTATTTCAGTATACAAGTACCATACAGCACAAAGCCTGAATTCATACCTTACCAAAGATTTTTAAAATGCTTTTTTTTTTTTTAGTTGACTAAATAGAAATATTGCAGCATCTCGGGAAAGCCTGTACTTCCAGAATAGACTTTCCTTAAAAAAAGAAAAAAGGTAAAGAATCCTTGCTTGGGTCTCTTTGGTGGTATAGGGTTAAGAAAATAACAGGTTTAGCAACCACATTCGGGGCTAGCAACAGTTGTTAAGCAAAGCAGTTGCTAAGTGAAACCATAACAGCTTATGATCTTACTTTAGCTTTCCTTTGCTTTCCAGACCTGCAAAGGTTGTAAATGCGAGAATTGGTCGTAAAGGTATTTTTTCATCACTCTGGTAACTTCAAACGGTTGCTAAATAAGGCAGTCACTAAACAAGGACTACCTGTACAGTCCTCTACTATTGTAAGAAAAGGTTTCCCGTCAGATGGGTATGAGTGCTGCTAAAAAGTCCCAGTCCTTGATCTGCACCTCCTGCCAGATAAAATATTTTGACTCTTTACAGCTAAAGCTCTTGAGCCATTAAAACTGATTCAGGATTCCAAGGATCCAGATCAGTAGACAAACAAAACAGGCATTCGTTTTTGCTTATCAAGGCAACCACTGATACAGAACTTTCTTCCACTATCATATTTTACAATTTAGGAGATAACCTGTCTTTACCTGCTTCACTGCGTGGTGCTGCAGATGGCTCATTGTACTCTGTTGCTTGTCTCATTCTTTCCTGGTGAATGCTCAGATACAGTTGAGATTGGTCAAAATATTTATTTTCTACTTGAAAAGTTGATCATGCCTCTTCCATGCATCCCTTGCCAAGGAGTCCACTACAATTTAATTTCTGTATATTTATTTTTGTTATTGTTTCCTGCCCAGAATCATCAAGATGGGTGGCTATATAAATTGAACAAATAAATAAGGTCATGGCACAGAGTGGGAAATCACTAAACTGTGACTTTGAAGGGGAGGAGGTGATTCTGAACACCTGTACACCCTCTTGAAACTGGATCGCCCCATACCTCTAGAAGTCACCGCACTGAAGCTGGAATACTTAAATATCTTCATGTTGATTTTAAAGGATGGATGTGCTCATAGGAGCCATGCAAGCTCCTGGGCCCATTTTAGAAATGTTGCCACAGAAGGGGTGTATTGGGATCTACAACCCTAAAGCCACCTGGTCAAATAAATCATTGGCCTTTCATCTGCACAGATTTGGGACACCAGCCACAGTTGTCCATTAAAGATTGCTGAGAAAAACATCAATAGTTGGTGAAGTGGCAATCACACTTACCAATGGTGTTCGCAGCAGCTATGTGAATGACCAATGAACATCCCTCAGTATCTTGCTTTTGTACACACAAATACTAAGGAGATGTGCCTATACTGTAGCTCATGTGATGATGGGTTCGTCAGTCAAAATGTGTTCCTCTGTGTTGTGGAAAACCAACCAAATTTTACTCAATGAACCACAACTTGGGAAATTACAGCTTAGTACCTGTATGAATTCAGTCCATGTATTTGTGGACAGACAATAGTGGTCTATGTGTAATAAAATAATTAAGTGAATGTGTAAAATAAGCCACTCTTTCTCGAGGACTCCAGCACAATTAAAATACGTAGATTGAATGCAACCAGGAGGAAGAATGCACACCAAGAAACACCCACCGGGCTGAAAGCGGGGAAAACAGGAGGGGTTGCCTGTCTCTTTGACCCTGGTGTGTAAATTGGTTGTTGACATTCCTGCCCTGCATTCCTCACCTTAAAGGTACATACCTCTAGTATCGACTTCCGAATTTCCTTGGCACTTGCCGCCTTTCTGAAGAGGCGGAGGCTTAAAGTCCTTCCCACCAACTCAGCCTGTCCAACATGACCGAACGGGCCCTTGGAAGGGTAAGAACAGGGAAACACCCCTCTGACCCCCGCCCCAAGCGGGTGCAAGTTTGTGCGGGAGTCGGAGCCCAGTCTAGGAAGAGGCATCTTTGCCGCAGTCTCCTGGTCCAGGCTGGGGAAATCCAGACATCGGAAGAGTTTTAGAGCGCTGCAGGGAGGGAATATGGCAACCGCTCTCGGTATGCCTGGCGGGAGAGCATAACGATCTGCCCCGCGGGACTGTTTTATTGCGCTAAGAAACGCTGCCCGGCGGTCCAGCGCTCCCACAGAAAAGGAAAGCGGAGGGGGTAGGTGTGAGGAAAACCCCGGAGCAAAGCGTGGCCGGCGCTTCCCTGACTTTTTCCTCCCGGAAAGTTTACTTCGCATCTCAGATGCGCTCTGCCCTTCAGCCACCGAGAGCCGGGGACCTGTTCGGGAAACCAGGGCGCAGGTAAGTTTCAAGCCCCCCTCTCGAGCTGGTTCTTTTCAGACAAAGGCAGCGGCGGATTGAGGCTCGAGCGCCAAAAAGGTGCTGCGCGTGTGGTCGCCCCAGCCCCAAGGAAAGCAGCGTTGCGCGAAGGCTTGAAACAGCCTCCGGGAACTGGGCGAACGCCCCACCTCATTCCCGCAGCTCCCCTCGGGGTAGCGCAGAGATCAGCGGAGCTGAGGGATTTGGGGGGCGGGCGGCGTTTCCAGATTTACGGTAGTCCGATTATGAACAGCGATGAAGAAGCAAGCATGCTTTTTCTTTACTTCCTCTCGCAGCCCGTATTTTTAAGGTCTGGAAACTCTGTCCTGACTACAGAGGGTTTGACTTAAAGAGCACTCTCATTAAACGAGTTTCAGCATCCTTGAATTTTAATCCTGGAAAATGCATTGGAAGCAAGTGCCTCGTGCAGTCTTCTGTAACTTTGCACCCCCAGATGTATTGGACTGCACCCCCATCATCCCCAACTTAGTGTGGGAGTTGTAGTCCAGTACATCTGGACACCATCATGTTGGAGAAGGCTCATGCATGCTGGTGCACTGAACCGTGTGCCAACAGTTTGCTAATTTATGGAAGAACTACTTTAGGATTCTCTCCCTCCCCCCCCTCCCCAATTTTATCTCCTTTAATTCTTGGGACCGGAATAACTATAAAGTTAATCTCATTGCACATGTACATAGGTTGTCCAAGTCATACAGCAAATATATTTTTCCATATGGACCTTGCTAAAACACTATAAGGTTGTGAATAAGGATTCAAGTTTTTAGACCAGAAATCTTTCAAACTGCATGTTAAATAAAACAAGGGGAGATTAAAATCTGGGGATTATGTTGAAATCCTAAAGTCTGCTTGTTGGGCAAACTCCAACATGCCTTATTCTGCCCCTGCCATGTATTTGTATGTATGTACATATATAAGATGTACATATTTAGACTTTCCAGCATAAGGAGAATTTTAGAGAACTTGGAATCTTGCTTATTAACTGTGACTTTTGAATTAACAGACAACTATCCACATATTTTCAAGAGCTGTTATCATGTTCCTCTCAGTTCAAAAGCACAATATTGTATCTACAAATGGCAAATAACTTACAAGTGATTTCCAAGTTTCTTTTTCATGCATATACCTAAAAGGGCAGCTGCTGCCAGCAGTTCAAAAGCTGGAGGCGATTTGTTTGCACTCAGTTGTGACTTGAGCACTGGCCTACTGTCCTTTCTGTGCAGCACAGTGGGCAGGTGGCTGGCTGTCTCCTTCTCTACTGCATGCTATGGAAGCTATGCCAGTTACCTGGAGAAAGACCTGCATGCTTAAAACCTTAAATAAAATGGATGCCTTACCATACATGTAATCACTGCAGATCTTATCACTGACATGAGCTCATCTGCTTTGCTAAAGTAGGTTTCCTAATACAGCAGGGAGCAACACACCCCCTCTTCCTGTTGAATCAAACCATTAAGACAGGCCTGAAAGATTAGACAAAAACAAAAAGCTTGTACAAAAGGGAATGTTACAATAGGTGCCTGATGTGCCCATGATCTCAGGTTCATCTCCAGTCAAGCAGAGGCGTGCAACTTTTCCTGGGCTGAGGATAGTAACTGACCTTTGAATGGCAAGCTAGAGTGGCGCATTGAGAAACAGAGGTCGGGACCAAGATGGACAACTAAAATTTTATTTCATTTAGATTTCAAACCACAATTTTTGGCAATTTTCTTAGCCATAGCCAAAGCTAGAAGCCATAGATAGCCTCCCAGTCTCAGCTGCACATTTCTACCTCAGGGATTGTAGGCAGCAGAATAAGGAAGAACCTCAAGTACTTTCCACAGGACTATATGAGGAGCTATAGCAAAAATATGCCTTTCTGTTCTTCATATGCTAAACTGAATTAATTCCAGCACCTGCCCTTACATAATTTATCTGTTCGATAGACAACTCACTGTTATGGGTAGTCCTCAACTTACAACCACAACTGGGACCAGAATTTCCATCGCTAAACAATGCAGTCATAAATTGAGACATCACGTGATCACATCGCTTAACAGCGGCAATCCCGGCAATCCCTGTTGCCATCATTAAGTGAATTTCACTGGTTGTTAGCCAAGGACCCACCCCAATGCAAGCCATCAAGGACTACCTGTAACCTATTAATCATTGTTTATAAGCAAATTATGATAGCGTTGCACAATACAGGTAGCCCCTGGCTTAAGGACGCCCAGTTTAAGGATGACCCATAGTTAAGAATGGAGCCTATTGTAGTAAAATTTGAGCTATATACACAATGATTTGAGTTAAATACACAATGGTTTGAGTTAATTATACAATACTACTTATACAGTATTATATAATACTGTTCTGGCTTAGATACAAATTCAACTTAAGGGCAGACCTTGGGAATTGAACTCATTCTTATACTGGGGAATACCTGTATGGGGTTCTATGAATCTGTTGCAAATATGGGAGTGTCTATGTCTTATTTCAAAGAGAACAATTACATAACAGTAATTGATACACTTATTGTATACTAATCATAATTAATACACTTATTGCATAATAATACAATTATTGATACACCAATCATTTATCACTACAGAGAAGCACAGACCCCATTTTAGTAGCAAGATCTGGATTCTTTAATGTGGATTTGCATGAAACCAGTTTGCTAGTATGTGACCTTAGATTCCCAGAAACAAAATCATCCTACAGCTGCACAGCTGTATAAATCCTAAGGGCTTTAAAACTCCTGTTGTGTTCCATCAAAAGAGAACAAATCAAGGACATCTGTCAGTTGGTGGATGGTTATATGCATGATTATATGAATCTGGCCGCTTGATTTTTTATCATTCCTCAGCATTTCCACTTTCATAATGTGTGTAGCCATTTCAAAAACATGTTCCTGTGACTGGATTCATACATTCAGTTAGTTTATTTTAACCATGGTTTACTGACTAGAATGCAAGAATTTGATTAGATTTACACAATATGCTACAGTAAGTCATAAACTATGCTTTAAAAAAGGCAAAATGGCTAATTAGCTGATCTAAAACTGGATAAAACCATATTATGTCTTAACATGATGTGCAAACCCAGTTGGCATTTTAAAAGAGGCATATTAAAGTGACAAAATCCAAACAAGTCGCTTTATGCTTAATATTGTATGTAACCTAGACTTCTCTGCCCACTTATGCTGGTTGAAAATATTGATATGGTTTCATTTTGCCATCCCTATTACCAGTTAAAAGTGTATCATAAATATTGATCTTTTCAGAATTTGGTATCTTATCAATAGAATTGTTTTAAATGAATGCTTTATAGGGGTAGACAGGAAGCAGAGAATATATTCTGAATATAAATATATATTCAGAACTAAATATAATATATTCAGAACTAAAACAGTCTTCTCAAAACTAGCAAACAGACATATTGCATCTTTGTTGTATGCAGATGACATAGTACTTCTATCACAAACATTAAGTGGATTTAAATGCGCTCTGAATGCTCTGGCCAATTACTGTCTGGGGAAGCACTTGAAATCAGCTATAATAAAACTAAGATCCTGATCTTTGCAAAGAGACCTAAACTGCACGCCTGGAAGATAAATGGCCAGTGTGTTGAACAAATGACATCTTTTAAATATTTGGGCATGGTTTTCCATAGCTTCACCAAATGCAGTGCACACCAGAATTATGTCATACAAAATGCTCAAAAACCAGTGGCCGCAATTCAGTCTTTTCACTTCACCAGAGGAGCACAGCATATTGCAGCAGCACTGAAGCTACAGTATATTCAGCTAAGGCTCGTACACAACTACTTTTTGGTGCCCAGCTAGGACCTTACACTTCCTTTACTCCTCTTGAAAGGGTCCAATCTAAATTCTTAAGGGCTATATTTCAGGTAGCCCCTTGCATTCCAAATGTAGTATTAAGGAGGGAAGCAGGTCTATCTAAAGTCGAAACAGGTGCATGGAGCTGTGTCATAACACATTGGTTGAAGTTACTGTTCCTTCCTACACGTTTGGGTTCTTTCTTTATTGAGGACAATTACAAATCAATACGATTCAGGATGATCTCACAAAAACTTCAACATCTCGGCTTCTCCAGGAGGCATTCCTAACAATGGGTTATGAACGTGCACTCAGCACATTAAAACAACGTATCAAAGACTTGGGCCAGTCTGCTCTACCTAAGAATGTTTTTCTCAGCAGTCAATCCCCTTTTTACAAACCAGCAAGATACTTACACCACATAACTGTTTCCAAATTCCAAAGAGCACTAACTTTAGCATGCTTTAACGCTCTCCCCACAGCAGTTTTGGAGGGCAAATACAAAAAACTCCCCTATGAGCTGAGACTGTGTCCCTGTGGACAAGGGGCTGTTGAAACTACAGCTCATGTCCTGCTTATACTGTACCCTCTATAAGGACTCAAGGACCTGCCTTATAACTCCTTACTTGGTAAAACACCTGGGAAATTCGGTTCTTTTTTATGTATAGTTGTTGTTATCAGATGATTCAGTCTCCTCAAATGTAACTAAATTTTGTTATACTGCCTGTAAAATTAAGCAGACTTTTACTATCCACTGACAAACCCATCACCAATTGTAATGTTTTATCTTGTTTTGTTTTGTTTTTACTTTATATTTATTTTTAATGTGTTTGCAATTCTAGTCAGTGACCATAATATAAATACTGTATTCATTCTTTCAGTCTTCTCAAAATGTTTTGTTGAATTGTTTCCAGTGTGATATCTACCATCAGAGCAAATTTAAAAATGTCTACAGCATTCTGTATTTTGTCAAAATGAAATGTTTTGAATATTCCAGCCATAGGAAACAAGAATAGAATTTTTATTATGGTCACAGACCAGAATTACAGATAGAAGCACATTAAGAAATAAAAATAAAATAAAAACAGAACCGAACAGAACAGGGTACAAAATACTACAATTGGTGGTGGGTTCATTGATCGGCAGT